GTGACGGGTTTTCCTGGCCAAATGGATTCGGCTCGGCCGGTCAAATTGTGACGGGTTTTCCTGGCCAAATGGATTTGGCTGGTCAAATTGCGACGGGTTTTCCTGGCCAAATGGATTTGGCTGGTCAAATTGCGATGGGTTTTTTAAAAAACCCATCACATTTTTGGTGGCCAAATCCATTTGGCTGAGTGGTTTTGCTCAGAAAACCCATCACAATCTGGAAGCTCGGCTGGCCCCAGAAAAGCGATGGGTTTTTTAAAAAACCCATCACAATTCCATAGGTTTTGGAAAAACCCATCACTTTTTGAAGTTGGGGATGAGCTGGAAAGTTTGACGGGTTTTCGTTTTCCTTATTAAATTGCGATGGGTTTTTTAAAAAACCCATCACATTTTGGGGCTGGGGCCCCGGTCTGAAACGTGACGGGTTTTCCCGGCCAAATCAATTTGGCTGGCAAAATTGTGACGGGTTTTCCCGGCCAAATCAATTTGGCTAGCAAAATTGTGACGGGTTTTCCCGTTCTCATTTCTTGCCAAGACTCCCAGCGGCGAACATGTCGTCCAGCTTTGTCATGTAGTCTGCCGAGATTAGGCAGGCCAGTTTCGGGTGGATCCACTGCCAGAGGCAGATAGCGTCGACAAGCTGCTCATGCACGTCCATCGGCCACTGCTGCTGCTTCTGGCGCGTTGCGAGGTCTCGAAGAACCACAGTGTGTTTGTGTGCGCACAGTGACAAAACAACAGAAACAGCACCACTGACAGAACTCGAGCCTTCATTTTGTTGCTGAAGTCAGCCGTCACACTCTTGTTGAAAGCATCATGCACCCTTCGAAAGTACCAGTTGCACACAGACTCAGAGACGTCAAGAATATCCTTCCAAACAGGCTTGTTGCGATATCTTGGCAGCTCATATCTGTCAGCACCGGGGATGAAATGGCCATTTGCCAAAACGTCGTAATGAAAGCCTGCGCTGGACAGACGTTGTGATTAACAAATACTTGGCATTGCGTTTTGTGAAGAAGTAGTATATATATAATCTCCATCATCACGTTTGAAGCTGTTTTTTCTCTCAAATCACGATGCTCCGGCTCTGGGCCGATGAAACCTGACTTGCAAATGGTGTGGCTGGGGCCTCTCTGGCCGCTCAGGCACATTTGCACAAATCAAGCCAGGCGAATGCACACCACCAGAACTCAAGAACGGTAGGTCATTGACCTTGAACCTTGTGCGGACCCCTTGACCAGCCAGAGCCTTCAAGTAGGACACTGCTCGGCCAAAGTTGGGATACTTGGCAAAGGCATCAGCCAACTCAAGCAGGTCCTTTTTGCGGTCTAGGTCTAGTGAAGGCTCATGGCCTGAGTTCGAGACACTTTTGGACCAAAAGGACTTCACAGTGAGAGACTCATCACCTGGCATTACCAGCAGGGCTGGCTGGCAAGGCTCACTGTCTGCCATGTGATGTTTCACAATGGCAAATATGTCATTTGCATTCGGCTCATATCTTCTTGGCAGGCGTTCGGACAAAGGCATGCGTGCAGGTAAACCTCGGATTGTGAATTAGACGGACCTGCGTTTAAGATCAAACAGCAACAATCTGCAATCTGTAACATTGGCATCAAGCGGCTCTCTCTCTTGCGAAAAGTAAAGGAGTGTGGCACGCGGTCCTCCTCCCCCTTCCGGGGTCGGAAGGCGTTGTCAAGTGACATGATGTGCGGAGCCAACTCCTTCCACTGCCGAACCTTGACCCACGATCAGCATGAACTGAGCTGAATAGTTAACAGCTGATTGACGTCATTCAATTCTTGCAAGGTTCAATGATGACAATTCACAATTTAAGGCGGCCACACGGTCCATCATCACAACATGAAAGAACTCACCCCTTTTCTCGAAAACAGGTCGGATACGAGCTTCAAGAAGCCTGCGCGTTTTACGAGCTCGTCAACTAGAATTCATCGCACAGTGGAAAGCGCCTTCTAAAATCTGCTGGGGTCTGTAATTCTGATCCAGCTGCTAGCAAGTGGGTGGTCAGCACGCCGAAGACACCGTCTTGGCTTGCAAAGCAACAGTAACTCTACAACAAACTGCAAACCAGGAATTTTCAAAAACTAAAAGGACAAGCAACCAATGTCTTCGTGGGTATGTCCCACTGGTAAACATTGATGACTGGCTTCCCAGAAATAATTCGCACTTGTCAGAAATGCCAATAAAGTGCCTGTGAGTCCGTTCTTCAATTCCTTGACCGTATTATCACTCTGTAACCACAACCTCAGCCCAATCAGGATTATAGATTAGCGTGCGTGTAAAACCATCTTGTGAAATTTGATTGTTTGCTTAACCCAGAAACGATGAAGGGAAGCTCAAGCCGCGCTGTCTTGCTGCCTCCCAGCACAAAGATATCGTAATCAGAACAGCCTCCCAGGAGTAGCTGCTACCAGTCGAAACCCCCTCCTCTGCGAGGAAAACCACGCAACCCCATCCGTGCGCCAACGTTGCGGACACAGACAGGTGTGTTCTTGTAATCCGCTCAAATACAGGAATCTTCGGGAGGCGGTTCTGCGTCCAGCGCGGCAACATCGGCTTGCTTTTGTCGAATCCGTCAAATATGACGGTCAATACATCTTGCTTGGCACGCGATGCTTCCCTGGCACACCAGTATGCCTGCCGGCAGCGCCATGTCAACGTTAAATGTCCGAGCAACTCGTCGGCAGCAGCAGCATGGGCTCTAAAGTCCCTTGAGGACCTCATCTTTGCTTTGATACGGTCGCACGTACCACACGTTGAGTGCTGAGAACGGTGACGAAATCGCAGGGCCTTTCTCCACTCTGCAGTAGCTGCGTAAAAGGTCGCGCGGCTCGAGGCCTCTGTTCCGTTGGCGTTGCAGCTAGCTGTGTAGAGCATATATAATTGGTGCCAGTTTCCAGGCGGAAGTTCCCGCGCTGCTAACAGCTTTGGATTCAGCTTTGTGATCCTCGAAGTAGGGCCTTCCAATGCATCCAGAAGAAGGTCTGCAAGAAGCTTTGCCCTAGTGGCTTCATCATCCATATTCATCTCTCGATTGAGTAGCCTCGCAAAATCAAAAAAGAGAGACAGTAACAGTCAAACACTTCCTGTGCACCAGCTAGCTGGCGCACAGGACAGGCTTGCCAGCTAGCTGGCAGCAAGAGGCAAGAGATTTGATTATCTCAAAGCAAGGCGCCCAGTGGGCATTGATTCCGAAATGGAATAGTACATCTTTTGCATAAAGAGTTGGACTGACGTATTTGCCAAAGCTGCGCGTGGTCGGTGGCCTTCCCATGCAAATTCAAAGCAAGCTCAATGATGGGAGTCAACCAAGACGGAACAAGCCCTGCCTGGAAGAGTCCTTTCGTCTAGACCCTTGAATGTATCCCGGGTTCGCTTGAGGCGACCGCACCCGATGCCCATGAAGCGTTGAAACGCGCGGCGGCAAACACGGGTTTCCCCTATATACCATTGGACGTGACGTTGCAAATCACTCTTGCTGCTGCTGGCGCTGCCACTGTCATCCTCAGATTCCTCTTCACCAAGCCCCTCAAGCGCATTGCTTTGGAGCGACCAGAGTAAGGCATCCTGACCAGGCTTGGAAAGGCTCCAAAACAGCAGGCAGATCTGTAACAATGTCTTGAACGCCACATTCTTCCAACACCTTCAGCGAGACATCAGTCAACTTGCTTTTTGACTTGGACCATGAATGAAGCCGACTAGTCAAAGCATGTGTTCAAGTAAGCGCCGGACTGCCTTGAGCAATGGCATCCACAGTCTTTCTGAGAACTTAGAACTTTCTTGATCCTCTTTGAGGACTTCCCATTCTCTGCATATTTGCTCTCTTGCTTGCCATCGATATCACCCGAAGATGCTTTCAAAGCAGACAGGTTCGCAAAAGTAAGGTTGGCAGTCTTGGTCCTATGGCACGCCCGCAAGGAAAACAAACAAAACACTCAACAAGACTCAGCGAAATCGAGTGAATAGTTCTGTTGCGAGCGAGGATCTTTGAAGAAGATGCCTCTGGAAGGGATGAGTCCGAATCTTGGCTTGACTCACCCTCGTCAGACGATTCTGATTCAGATGGGCTCCATCGTCGCAAACATGTGCCCTTGTCAGGTGGGCTGCGGGATCTCGACAAGGCGCGCCATATGCCCATGATGTTGGTTGAATGCTAAGTAAAGTATGTTGAATAAGTAAACCTGTTTAGTATGCAAATCATTAACTTAAAGGTGGTTTTTATGAACAGTGTACTGTAATATAGCCATTGTATAGCATGCAAAAGACTCACCAATTGAGCCTGAGTCGCAGGTAGAAGCAAAAACAAGCAAACCACACTTCATTGTAACCAGACGTGTGGCAGCCAGCTAGCTGGCTGTCACACAATGATTACACGAGTATGTGTGCGCAACACTACACAGACTGTAGAATGGCAGTTCTTTGCGGGTACTGGACCTGATGAGCTGTGACGATGCAAGTCGTAGTGCTCTGCCAGAATCCTGATAGATTCCTCGGGAACTTTCAACATGTTGCCAATGATTTTTCTCTTGAGGGTGTCAACCCTCCACCTCTTGATCTTCACGTCTTTGTTGTAGTCGGCGATGCAAGTGTTCAATGCAATCAGTTGGGAGACTCTGGGGTTCTCTTTCATGGTTGCTTGTATTGCTTGGTTGAAGATGCCTACAAAGTCCAAGGCCGATGGCGCTTGCTTCTCAGCTGTCTCTTGCCCCAAGCCTCACATTCGTTGCCCTCTGCAATCACATCATAGTATTCAAGTGTGTTTGTTGAGTGGCCTTGAAAAGACTAACAAGTGTGGTTGCATTGAAGATTGAGTACAGGACGCAGTGCTTCATAGAAGTGCTTCTCTTCGTGCTCCATGTGTGTGTACTTCGCCTTAAAGAAGCGCAAGCTCCGAAGCAGAGGCGCCAAGTCATCAGCGTCGAGGTCCTCTTCAGTGAATTCCTGATTGCAAACACTCAGGCATGACGTGCCATGGTTTGTAAACAATTCAATGGAAACAGTTTTTAGTTGCAGTTTAGCCTCCAACTTGTCACAAAGCGCAGCGATGGATTGACAAATCAAACCTTTTGTGAAGCCATCGACATATTTGATGCTGAAATCCGGGATGCTCCTGTCACCCTGGCTCACAAATCTCACACTCAAAGGTTCCCTGTAAGGATCAAAACCGCGGTACAAAATGTTCCGGAAGTGCGGCGTCACAGTGGCCATGTGGGGAAAGACTCAGTGAGCAGACACATGCGTGCAATGTGACTGATGGACCAAGACCAAAATCTATATTTGAGCAAAGTAGCAGCCATGCTTTGCGCTCTGGCTGAAGTCCAACTGATCAAGTCCGACACAGAAGTCGTTCAAAGTTGCGACGGGCTCCAATCCAATAACGGGCGGCATACGCTCATCATCAGTGAACGGTCGAGAGTACACAACCCTGTCCAAAGCGCTCTTCATTTTGAGAGGGTCTCCATACTCACTGTTCAGCCAAGCCCCAAGGTTGGTGTCAGCTGTGACCTGGGACGGAAACGTGAATATGTTTAATCTATACTACTACACTATTGCCCAAAACTGGGAGGCTGACTTTTGTAAAAGCTTCCCATATCAAATCCCTAGATGACGAAGCCTTTGGAGGCACTCCAGCTTCCGCTTCCACTTTTGCAGCCATTGGCCAAACGCAGCTTCGAGCAAAAACCCTTTCACAAAACAGCGCGGTGCAAAGCCCCAATGCGCAAGACATGCCAAGAACAAACAGTAGTCTGGACTCAAAATAACTCAAACATGGGAGGCGCACGAAACGGCGAATTAATCAGTCAGGCAGTCAAGCCGGGAGCCTGAAGGAGCCTGACATTGCAGCAACCTTTGAGCGACCTTGAGATGTAAAGCGACACATTGAACTGAGACCTGGACATGTTTACTTCTTTGCCTTCCTCGCCTTCATTGCAA